CTACACAAAATACCAGAAATACCGTCCACTTGCCTAAAGTCGTGTTTCCTACCTATTACGTTTTTGCTTTTCATTTTCTGTTAGTACAGTTCTACCTTGATGTGTTGTCATTTTCCTATTGGTTATTACTTTTAGTTTGTTCTATATATATGGCAAGTGTATTCCATTTCCAGCAAGAGTAATGAAATAAATAAAATTCGATTTCTTCAATACATTCCCAGCTGCTTTTGTTCATGATATCAGAGCAGGCTGAAAATTATAAAATTTTCGATTAAGAAACCTATCCAATATCTGAAGAAAATATGGCACAGAACACATCCGAATCCGAGACTGAAGAAGAAGTGGCAGAAAAGGAATATTCAAATAGAGACCCATTAGATCTTCAAAACTCAGATCATCCAGGTGGGGTTTTGGTTACTTCAGTATTGACAGGAAGAAATTACCTTAGTTGGAGTAGGTCAATCATCATAGCATTAGGAGCTAAAATGAAATTAGGCTTCATTGATGGAAGATGTGATAAGCCTACTGAAAATTTATCCAAAATTGAACAATGGATCCGGGTAGATTGTATAGTTAGATCGTGGTTATTGAACTCGATTGCAAAGGATATTGTTGAAGCTTTCATTTACACCAAATCAGCAAAGGATTTATGGTTTGAATTGAAGGAAAGGTATGGAGAGTGTAATGGACCAATGTTATATCAATTACAGAGAGAAATCAGCAGCATTTCGCAAGGGATTTTAACAGTTGAAAAATATTACACTAAATTGAAGAAACTCTGGGATGAGTTAGTGTGTTTAATGCCAATTCCAGCCTGTACTTTTTCAGCATCTAAGGAAATCTCATATCTGACTGCTTTCAACCGGTTAATGCAATTTTTGATGGGTTTAAATGATACATTTGATCATATAAGGAATCAGATACTCGCGATGGATCCACTTCCCACAGTCAACAAAGCATACTCTATGGTACTGAGAGTCGAAAAACAGAGAGAGGTTCACAATATTTTTCCAGATTCAAATGATAATTCAGCTATGTTTGTTAGATCCACAGACTATAGGAGAGACAATGGAAATCGAGGAGGTTTTAAAAAAAATGTTTTGAGGTATAGTTCAGGAAGAGGTAATAACAGGAGATTTGGAAATGGAAAAGAGCTTTATTACTGTGACCATTGTAACATGAAAGGTCATAATAGAGATGGCTGTTTTAAGATAATAGAGTATCCAGAATGGTACAAAACAACAAAAGAACAGAGGCCTAGAAACTTTGGAGATGGAAGATTTTCAGCAAATATGGTTGATACACCTCTGGACTTTGAAGATGATAAGACAAATCAGAATAAGGAAATAGATCAGACAGGGTCTACAGATTTGGCTAATCTGGTAATACAGGAAGTACTTAAAGTCTTGAGAGGAAAGAGGTTGATGGAGGCTGAGAACAAGGTGAATTTTGCACACATCAGAGAGTATGCAGGTATGAGCTCTTTTCACTCCTTTTTAGCTGCGCTTGATCATGTGAAACCAGGAACTTGGATAATTGATACAGGAGCTAGCAATCACATCTGCACCGATTTGAATTTGATGACAAATTTGACTCCCATTACACAAACCACTCTTATCTGTTTACCTGATGGAACTAACAAATCTGTTAATCATATTGGAAATGTTAAACTGAACCAAAAATTACACCTAACTGATGTCTTGTATGTTCCCAGTTTCAAATTTAACCTCCTGTCAGTGCAAAAATTACACAAGCAGCCAACCTTAAATTGATTTTCTATCCTAACTTCTGTATATTGCAGGACCTGCAGAATGAGAAAGTATTGGCAGTTGGCAAGCTTGTGGGTAAATTGTATTTGTTAGATGATTTTAGTTTTATTTTCAAAGAAGATAGATATAGTGATAAACTGAAAGCTCATTCCAATTCCTCGATTTTCACTACCTCTTGTAATCAGATGCTTGGTTTAAATGAAATTCCTACTTCCTTATCCACTGCTAAACTTCTTGAATAGCATAACAGACTAGGACATGCTTCATTTCACACAATGCAATACTTAGATTTTCTTAA